TCGGGTCAGATGAAGGCAATGTGCGTCAAGCAAGGCCACCTGTGGCCTAGACAGTGGGCTCTTTCCTGCAGGGGCACAAATGTCCCACAGGGGTGCCTTACTGGCACATCGCATGCTCCTCAGGCTGAGAAAGTTGAGCAAGAAGCATGCAGCAGCCCCTCACCGCCCGCCACCTCCACCCATGTGTGTCTATGGAAACTAATGCCACTCACCTGATGGGCCTTCCCCGGCATCAGACGATGCCTGGGAGACATCCAAGGCAAGAATGACCTCCTGGCTTGCAGGCATCGTCACACTGCTGGCCTCATCTGGCTCCTCCTCCTCCCCATCTCTGCCCTCCAGGAGGGCGACGACAGGGTTTTCCAGCCCTGAATCCACTACCGGGATGGAGGGAGGAACTGACCCACCCCCTAGGATGCAGTAGAGCTCATTATAGAAGGGCAGGTCTGGGGTGCCGCCCTGGAGTGGGAGCTGTGCTCCCTGGCCTTGGCATAGGCCTGCTTGAGCTCTTTCACCTTCATGCCACCTGTTCCTGGGTACAGATGTAATCCTTGGTGCCAGGCTCTCAGCCATCCAGCCACATTCCTGTATTTGGTGAGGAGATCCTGGAGGTTTGCCTCCTTGCCCTAGATCCCAATGAGGTCCAGTATCTCCACACCAAACCAGGAAGGGACGCGCCTCTTTCATCCCCTGGCAGTGTCCTGGGAGCTGGCTGCCTGCTCAGCTGCAGCCAAGGATAGTTGTGCAGGTTGCTGCTTTGTGGCTCAGGTCCGTCAGGGCCTGCCGTATGCTTCAAGCCCTTTCCCCTGAGCCTGCAGGGGAAAGGGTACTATATAGTTTTGCTGAGTGTGGACAGAGAGGCCAGCAGGGCCCCTGTGGGAAGGGCTGGAGGCCAATTATTTCAAAATAACTCCAGCTGCCCTGTCTACACACGCCCTATTCCAAAACGCTCAGAATAGGTGTTATTCCTCAGGAAGTGAGAGTTACAGACTCTGGAATAAGCTGCCCGTTATTTCAAAATTATTTCAAAACAATAGGCTTGCTGTGTAGACGCTCGTGTAGTTATTTTGAAATAATGCTGAATTATTACATATGCCCTCAGAGAAGATGTGGAGGTTCTTGGCACTTGCAGGGTCAAACCGAGGGGTAACAATGAAGAATAATAATATGCCTGATTCTCAGCTGGAGGAAATCAGTTTAGCGCCAATGAAGTCAGTTGAGCCATGCTTAGTTATACCAGCTGAAGATCTGTCCCATCATTACACAATGTAATTGCCTAGCCTGGAATCTGGCTCTCCTCAGGGCCAGAGCCTTAATTTTAACTCCCATTCAAAAGACTCACATTTCCTCAAAGGTGAGAATGGTGCTTTTTTAAACAGAATTTTTTATTTAGGTTGTGAAGAGTTCTTTATAGGACACTATTGCTTAGAGTAGAGTGAAAATCTGGGGAAATTCTGAATTTAGATCAACCAAAAAATAAAACGAATACTGTCATAAATAAACCAGGTGGAGTTATTAAATAGGCTGGCTAAAGAAAAGATATTTTCATCTATATATCCAAAATAAATAGTTGCTTCATCTCCAGAGCAGATTTAAGGAGCCTGTCAAATTAAAATTCATATTTATAGAAAAAGATTTCCTACAACACCTTAAATTACTAAACCTAATTGCCAATACCATAATTTTATTATGAGCCTCATGACTTCCGGTGTTTTTCTGGAAGTCCCAGCTTTTAGAATTAAGAGATTGTACGCAAATCCCAGCTTTCAAGTTTTATATATATATATTATACACACAGAGAGAGTTATGGAAAAGAGCTTTAAACTGTGACCTGAGACTTGGGAAATAAAAGCCTGACTCATGAGTTTTGAGCACCCATGGTTAGTAACACTGAAATCATTTTGCTCTTTGCTTACTATCACAGATTGGACATAAAAATTCATCTAATTAATTTCACTTGTGTTTATTCATGGTTTTATTTTTAAATTCTCATGCGTGTGTGATGCTGCAATCTCTGGGTTACAAGCATTGCCAGGAAAACACTATACCATTTAAAAATAAGCTTTCTAAGAAGAGGTTTCTAACAATGATGGAAACAAGTATTCAGTTTTCTAAAAATCTGTTTTTACAAAACCTGAATTTTGGAACTAAACTGATTCAACGACATCCACTTAAAATATTTCTTCTTAGGCTCACTAAGGATCCTGCAGCAGGCAAATCTGAATGAGCTGACCATGCCTGGACAGAGGTCCAACCTCTAAGAACAGTTCTTTATTTAATTTAAGGGAAACAAAATCATGTTCTATCTATCAGTGGAGTACCTAGGACAGGGACAATGGGAGGGGAGCAGCTCTCAGGTGGGCAGGCCATGATGGGGGCAAGAGAGTGGGATGGAAGATCCTGGGGGGCAGGTAGGGTTGCCAGGTGTCTGGTATTCACCCGGACAGTCCAGTTTTTGGGCTCTCTGTCCGGTAAAAAAAATTCAGAAAATACCGGACACGTGCAATGTCCTGTATTTTCTGGTTTTCCGTCTGGGCGCCCGACAGAAGCCTGGCGGGGCAGGGAGAGTGGCTGGGAGCCTCTGGTTGCATGTGACATAGGAGTGACGCCTTGGGGAGGAGGAGAAGCCCTGTCCGTGCTCCTGAGCGCTGTTCAAGCACGTTGTGGAGCCGTAGCCAGACTCGCTCGTTCTTCACCGGGACCGTGCATGTGACAGGCAGTGCCCTGGGATCTGCATGTGCCCGGGTCAGTCCTGCTTCCCCTCTGGCTGCATCTCTCCCCACCCCATTCCCCCTCTGGCCAGCTCCACTCCCCCCAACCAGCCCTGCTCCCCCCGACTCCCTCCCGGCCAGCCCTTCCTCCTGCCAGCTGGTTCTCCTCCTCCCGATCTCCCCCAGCCAGCCCCACTTCCCCCGACCCCCCCTCACCCCCATCTCCCCCAACCCGCCCTGCTTCCCACCGGGGCGCCCCC